CTAGAAGCTAGCTACTTCTCCTTAACGTCTTCTGCACAAACCACTGGGCAAACAGGCTTTAGATGCAGCCTGGAATCAAGAAACAGAAAAAGGACCTGTCTGGGAGCAACATCTCTTTGCTTAGAAGATCCATTGATGAGTTCAGTTTCCATCTGTGCATTTTCTGTGCTGATTTCAGGATTGTGAGACATATAATAAAAAAGAGCATTTTGAAAAATCACAATGCTAAAGTTCTAACTTTTGTTGCTAAATGTTTTTCCTTGTTATTTCAATACAACATTTCCTGGGCTATTTTTATAGAATTGGGGGGGGGGGGGATCTTGTGTTTATTTTCTTATAATTTTTCCCTCTGGATGGTTGTTAACAAATTTCTCAAATTGATCATACTTCAGATACCTAAAGTGATCCCCAAGAGGGCCTGAAGCTCCAAAACGACTAAGTGATGGGTGTGTAAGGGGGCCTAGGGTCAAGTACAATAATAGTGACAATGACCTTGGGATCCAGAGAGACCTCCATCACTAAGAAGCTCAGGCAAATTGGGTAAATCCAGTAAATTTGTTGGCTTTGATGTCTTTATCTAAGTAATGAAGCAGTTGGCATAAAGTGATAGAGTCCCTTAAAAGTGAACTTTATGGAAAATATTGTTCTGAGGAACTCAACAGGAAAATTATTTTATAAATTAAAATTAAATCTAGGGAAATCCCAACCTGCATAATAAAGCTGGATATAATAAGTGTGTGAAACTTTTTAAAGAGAGATTATATATAATAAATTATGTATATTGCAAAATATTTCTCCATCCAAGGATAAAAGAAAAGGCCTATGGCAAGACAGAGCCAGCAGAGGGCGTTTAGTTCCTGAGCCTTTTGCTGAAGGAGCCTTGGTCTAGTCCAAATAAGGAAACAGTGTATTTGCTTTGAAACTTGCACTGCTTGAAAGATGTGCTTATGCTACTAATCTAAGCAAATATTTGCTTCCATTTTTCCAGAGGAGTAAAGATAAAGGAGTATTTTTAAAGAAGTAACTATACAACATTAGCATTTTAAGCAGATGAAACTTTTAAAAGAATGTATAGACACAATCTTTCATTGTGTAAAATAAAGCATCAATTTCATGCCGATTATTTTAGAAGATCATTCTCATAGCAGTCCTTGGAAATTGCTTAAAGTTTATCTTCATTGTGTATATTTGAAGAATTATAAAATTCCTTTGGACATTACTGACATGAAAAATCCAGAACAAACCAGAGATATATATATATAGAATAATGAAAATGCTTACCTTTACTTAAAAATAATCAGAATAGGGGATACAAACACATATGTAATACCTTAATCAATAAAAAATAATCAGAATAACATTTAAAGGAATTGTGGTTGGAATTGGCTACCGTCCTTCAAATTTGGAAATTATTGCTAAACTCACGTAAGACATCAATTAAGAAACACAAAAATAATTTGAGCTCTATGAAAATGGGTAAAAGAAGAAAAATCACCCAGTCACAGTAAATATCACTGTGCATATTTAAATAGAAAAATTATTATAAAAATAGTTGTTCCAAAGCTTTGTATAATATAACTTGCTTCTTCTAGCTTCTGGAATTTGTTAGCAGTTCCCATGGCTTGTAGGCACATGGCTCCAATTTCCATCTCCCGATTCACAGCTTTGTTGTCTTCTCTCTGTATGTCTCTGTCTTCTCTTAAGGACGACAGTCATTTTGGTTTAAGGGCCTTCCCTCCTCCAATATGACCTCCTGGTAACTTAAGTAATTATCTCTGTTTCCAAAAAGTTCACGTTCTGAGATATTGGGGTTTAGGGTTTTAGCATATCTTTTGCAGGGAGACGATTTAACACATAACAGGAGGACAGGAGGTTTCAAAAGGTGGAGAACTTTGTAAGGAATTCTATGAGGGGAGTAGTTGCCCTCCCTATGGGTTGGGGGGCCAGTTTCCAGTGACAAAGCTATGAAGAGGAGGACTCAAGGCCGGGGCAGCTTCATGGATGTGCAATTCATGCAGTTGACCAGGGCCCTGTAATCTTCAAAGTCTTAATAATTTTGAACAACAGGTTCTGCATTTTCATTTTGCATTGGTCCCTACAAATTATGTAGAACCCCACTCTGAGAGCTTCCTATGTGCTTCTTATACTTGTGGGGTTGGCATGCTGAGACCTGACTCACACATGGCAAAGCTGGCCGAGAAATGGAATTGCAGTGACTGCCCTGCCTGGGTCATCTTGCCTTTCTGAGTTGTCAAGCAATAAAAAGTGGTCCTCTTAGTACTGCAGTGAGAGGTACTTAGTGATGGGAATCTAGGAAGAACCACAGTCAGGAGAGGGAGCATCAAATTCTGCCAGGCCAGAGAATAGGAAGGAGCTATATAAAGAGACAGTTCAGGTAAGACCTCTCCTAGATTTTGACCAACCTGGAAGAATCAAAACCAGAGACGGTCGGACCTGCATCACCACCGTTTGTCCACCAACCAGATCTGAAATAGCATGGCTGACATATACACATAAGGAACTATTTTACATTGAAATTGGAACTTGAACTGTTGGCCCAGAAAGGAGCTCACTGATTCATTTGCCTCTCAGCATAACCATTATGGCTTGTTTCAGTTTAGGTTCTTACAAGGGTATTTCTTAGATCACATGATCTCACACATCTAGAGGAAATAATGAACAACATAAACTGATGAACAAAAACAGACCCAGAGAAAGAGAAGCACCGAACAGACTTTCAAACCTCAGAGGGAAAGTAGGGGAGGGTGGGATAAAGGGGAAGAGATCAACCAAAAAACTTGTGTGCATGCATATGGGCCAAGCCAGTGGCCATGAACAAAGGGTGGGGGGGGGGGCATATTTAGGAAGGGGTTTGAGATGGGATTGGGGAATGAGGACAATTATGTGACACCATAATCAATAATAAAAAATAAAATAAGATAAAAAAGCTAATTAGAAGCCTGGAGGAATTTGGGAGTGGGCAAGAGAGATAAGAATGAAATCAAAACAAAAACTTAAGACAGTGAAATAGAGAAGTCAAGGCTGCCCTATCCACTGCAGACTTCCAACCCCAAGCAGCCCAGTTTAGAGAAGGGGAGACGATCAGCCATTATATTTCACTCGGAGTTTCAATGGATAATATTAAACAGACGAATCTAATTTCTGAATTGAATCCCCAAGGGATCTAGATAAGTAAGCAGAAAAATAATAAACCCAGTAGTTTTCATCAAGGGGTAGGGAAAGATGTATTATCTCTTTTGATACATTTTAAAGTGTTGATAGGTATTATGGGCTGAGCTGTGCCCCTGCCCCCCAACGGGCATTTCCTTGGGGAATTAGTAATTTCAGTGCCTTAACATGGACTATATTTGGAGTTAGGATCTTTAAAAATGTAATCAAGGTAAAATGAGGTCATTAGAGTGAGCCTTAATCTATAGGACTGTTGTCCTTATAAGAAGAGATTTGGACATAGGACACACACAAGCACAGAGGGAAGACCATGTGAAGATACAGGGAAAAGATGGCCATCTATAAGCCAAGGAAAGAGGTTCACAGAAGAAACCAATTCTGATGATACCTTGATCTTGGATATCCAGCCTCCAGTACTCTTGAGAAAATAAATTTCTATTGTTTAAGCCACCCAGCATGTGGTACTTTGTTATGGTGGCCCTAGCAAACTAATACAGTGGAAGATAATAAAACCCGATTTGTTACAGAGATCAGAGTAATCTTGGAAAAAATAATGAGGAGCAAGGTCCACAAAGTGGGATAAAAAGTCATTAACTTTTTCAAATGAGAGCTGAAAAAATAATTGAATAAAAATTGCCGTCTTAGTTGTTTGTAGAACTAACTTGACCAATAGATTACAAAAGAAGATATAGTTCTATTAAAGGAACTTCACTTATCACATTTTTATACTGTTGAGTAGAATGTATAACCTTTGTGAAGGATTTTCTTCAAAGATGTTGGCTTAAGAGGTTTCTTGGGCTCTGTCATTAACTTTGCATGTTCCTCTTCCAACTTGTGATTTTCAGAGAAATCCTGAGTGGCATACTGTAACAGCAATCCTTTCAAGACTATCTTGTTCAGCTTAAAGACTAGGGCTCCAGAGTTTATAAGTGATTTGTAGAGCTGACTTCCTGCAATCTTATCAGATTTGGTTTGGGAAACAAAAAGACCTGAGATCATCTTCCTTATATACTCCTTCTGGACTTTGCAAGAGAAAAAAATAGATACCCACAGAATCCTGAACCATGCTTATCAGAGCCAATGGAAGAAAACTACTTAGTAACTCTCATCAAACTTCTATAATCAATGTTTATAAATAAAATTTTCACGCCAGGAACAAAGCAATAGAGATCACAGTATCACTTTGAATTAGCTAACAATGAGTATACAATCCACCTTGATATTTCTTGGATATTTTGAAAATTGTAGTCAAGCCCAGCCCAAAGCACATGAGAAAGGTGAGCGTAGAGCCTACCTTTGTTGAACTCCCTAGAGAAGGTAATTCTACCACCTTCACAGACTCACTGACAATATGTAATAAAATTTACATGATGTACTTTTGTTATGGAAAGAATTATGTAAAGTGCTTTATGAAAATTTATAATATTCTTGTCTCTGAGACAAGGCAGGAACCAAGACTACCGGTAACTACCTTTTATTGAGCTCCACACAATTTACAAACTTTATTTTGTTGAACCTGTGTGTGCTTTATAAGGCAAGTATACTGCGGGAAAGATGGTGCCGGCAAATAATAAGCACTTCATAATTTAGTTTGTTAAATTAAAACTTCGCAAAAACCTTATAAAACAGGGACAGTGTCCCTATTTTGAGGTTGAGGAAAAGGACTTGGAGAGATAAACTAGCTTCACAAGATCACACAGCAGAGATCATGAAAAGTTCGTTTGATGTGAAAACTTTCACAGACAAACCTGCTATACTGTGACTTCTTGTTTTTAAGATATTATTTTATTAGCTGAATTTTATATTTTCAGGTATTTTCTTATACCGCTGACAAGGAAATCCGAACCGATGACTTGTGCTTGGATGTTTCTAGACTCAATGGACCTGTAATCATGTTAAAATGCCACCACATGAGAGGAAATCAGTTATGGGAATATGATGCTGAGGTATAGTATTTTCCTTAATTTACTTATTTTTGAATCTTTCAACTGAGTAAATACTGGGTGGAGCAAAAGTAGGTTTATAGTTGTGAATATGTAAGACAGAGTTTATTCTTGTATTATTTTGATTAATTATTGTATTATTTTTCCATAACAACAACTGTAATCCTACTTTTGCCCCACCCTGCATTTCAAATATATTTAAACGCTGAGTTATTTTTTTCTGCATTGGAAAAACTGCACTTTCAAGCACGTAAGCTCATATTACATAATATTAGGATGGTATATTATATAAATATATAGTTTTTGCAAAACTAGTCTGTAAGTATAAAATCTGAATAAGAAACATAAAGTCATTTTTATGTTCATAAAATTTGTCATCATATGTACATGCTCAATATAAATTAGGCAAAGGGCAGGCTATGCTTATCTGAGAGTTCTGTTTGCAAATGTATATAACGAACAATATCAGCAATAGTTTCATATTTTTAATTTTACACCATTGTAATTTCTGATATTTATGCTTCTCACTTTAAAGGAAAAGAGAAAATAACTGACAAGCTTAGCTTGAACATTCTTTATAGTAGTAAATATTTTGCAAAATTCAGTAAACTAATTAGGTACATAATCAATTAAGCAGCCTCTTCTCAATATAGCACATCTTCCTGAGAGAAGAGAGGCAGGAAAAAAACAATAAAATTACTGGGAATTTATAGCCAGGCAGTGTGTAAACACCAAACCAGCCATCAGATGGAGCTAATAAAAAAGAAATATTTTTCTCTGCATGAGGAAGCTATCTTGAAATAGCTTCATTTCTTTCATTTCCCTTTGCTTAACAAAGTGAATTTGTCGTCTGGGTTACATTTTCCACATTATTAAATGGTTGGTGACTTATTTAAAATAAGAAGTAAACCTCTTTCTTACATGATAAATAATACAATAGAGGTGAATGAATTTCACAAATGAAGTCTTCTATGAAAGCTTAAAATACTCTGCAAGAGTAACATTTTAAAAACGAATCTGCAGATTTTTGGTATTATTGATATTTTAACAAGGTCTTTTAAAAAACTTTTTGAATGTCATTTTAATTTGCATGATGTTGTAATGTCTTAAGTGTGATATCAGAAAAACTTACTGAATTCTTAGATGATTTGGAGTTAGTTACATAGGGTTAAAGTTTGTCCCTAAGATTTATATATTATTTCCAAGTTTCTCAGACATAATTAAGGCAAACACCATGAATCATTCCTGTGTCACACCACTGTGCTTCATCCAGACTCTTTGGTCCTCTCAGTATTTATTCATCTTTTTTATCTGACCACCATTATTTTTCTCTTCAACTATTGTCATCATCACCCTTTGTATTTAGATAGCAGAAGACATTTCATCTAATAATACATGTGAGTAGATTTGAACCTTTCTCTAGTCAGTTCCCTACCTCTTCTATGAGGAGAAGTGCAGATAAATGTACAGAAAAAGAAGAAATCTTGAAAGAATTATTTTTTTAAAATAAAACATTGTGTTGTTATTGTTGCACTTTAGTTTTCACCAGGATCCCTAGACTGTATTAGGTGTGTGCTAAAATAAAGAAATCTAGCATATACTTTTAAGAAAAGGGGGAAGAATGCACATATTTTTATAAGATGGAGTATTGTTGAATTTTAGAATACCACTCAATCTTTAAACATTTCTTTAATTTTTGAGTGGGTAATGGCTTTTATAGTCATGACTCAAGTTTCTTCATTTCTGAAATAACTATTGTTGTTAATTAGGCATATGTTTTTATTTCTATTTCTATCAGTCAGTAGGAGGGTTATTGAATACTAAGGGATTTTGAAAGAAGAGTGGGAAAAAAAATGGAAGCCTCACCTAAAATAAAGAAATGGTTTTTGTAAATTTACTAATTGGATGAGTATTATCTCTTGTAGCATTTTTAGATTATTGTACTATTTTGTACCATAGAAATTTTGTTTCTACAACACATACAAATAAAGCTTATACTATGTCTTAAATAGTATTGAGAAATGTTTATTTTTAAATTATCTAATCACCTTAATAATTATATAATAATTTAATTTTCTGTCTTACGTGTTTATGTTTTCAAAATTAAGTTGTGATATTCAACTTGTCTAAATTAATATTTTAAAATCATAATGTAAATTTTTTGCCAAATTTATAAGTGTATAAATCATAATATAGAGGAGTCACAAGAGAATAGAATACTTGTAGGAATGATGCATTGCTCTTCTGGGCATTTCAGTTTTGAAATAAAAACATTTTTTGTGAAAAGTAAGAAAAATTGAAATGACTTTTTTTTTTAATTGGAATATATTTACTTTTTATGATTATCTATTTTACATTTTAGGTTTAGGGCCACTTTAGTCTATGGAATTGTTCCAATTTTTGCTACCCAATGTGTGATTCCAGGACTAGTAACAACACCTGGGAATTGGGTAGAAGTTAAGAATCTCGGGTATCACCCAGGATGCACTAAATCAGTCTGTACTTCAACAAAATCTCCAAGGCATTCACATACATGTTAAAGTTTGACAAGGACAGGTCTACACAGTGGCTGAATACCTATTAATCTTCCTTAGTCTTTTTATACACTGTTGAAAAATATTGCAAAGTGATATACTTTGGAAAATGACAAGGCTTCCAGGAGGGAAGGGGGAGGGATCAGGAGCAGAAGGTGAGAGGCGCTGAGTCAGAGAGAGGAGTAACTGCCAAGTATTGCTAGTCTTTTCATATTCCAACCAGTAAAAAAGTAGACAAGTGCTGTTTGCCACTTCTTTAGTTTATTCTTTATCTATTGCTATCAAAGGCAAATTATCCTTTTTTGAGAAATCTCTGAGGTGGTACAATTTCAAAGCAGAATAAAACTTAGTGGTGTTCACAGAATGATAAGCTGAAACTTCCCCTAACGTTCTCTTCTTTGAGCCTTTATCAGCAGAACTCTAAAGCACAAAGATCACCCCACTAGCAGCGGAGGCAGAATTAGGTCCTAATAAAGTATTCAAAGCTAGTTATCACTGCAATTGTGAATCTCACAGTGTGAACAGGTGAAATATTCCATCACCTTATCTCCTGGAATGCTTTCAGCCTTAAAAAAGTAAGTCATAAATAGGAACAGAATTCTGGGAATATCCAGAGAAAAATGGAAACTGTCATAAAGCCTCAAAACATGGAGTCTATTTAGCTGCTTTGTTTACTCTTTTAGATGGGCGGGCTGGAAGGGAGTGGAAGGGAATAAAGTATACAGAGACTCTATATTCTGTTTTCTCATACAATTCTAATGATAGTCCTATTCATAATAACATAAGCATAATATGCTAATTAGACCAGACATCCTTCCAGACATCCTTCCGGGTGACCTTGACCTTCCCGATGAAGCTGGGGCTGGGAGGGAAGCCCGGGTCCCAGGTGCCAGAGGGAAGCCAGTGATGGCAGCCAGGAGAAGGAGGGCCTACTCTTGCACAAATTTTGTGCATCGGGCCTCTAGTAAGATAATAATATTTTACTTGTATTCTTCACATAAGTAAATGTAAGCTTAAAGTATTTAAATGCCTTCTCTGGGTTTGCACGCTCCAGTTTCTAGCACTTAACTGAGCGTTCTTTCCACATTTTTCCACGTTCTTCTTGAGGTCATCAAAAAACTAGAAACCATTAGATGCTCTCAATAATTATGATCTGATGAATTAAATGTACAGTATTATAAAAGAAATTATATCCATTATTTGTGCTACCAAATTTTATTCACATAGAATTTCTCCTTAATCACTGGAAAGATGTTCTGCAATAAGCATTGTCTATTGAGACAAGCAGTCATAAAACTACTTTGTCAGTGGGGTCTAATTGCTTAAAATTTATCTGTTCATATTCATAATACAATTCATATCTAATTGCTTCTACTTTTATTTGAATGAAATAAAGTACATGTTGGTAAGCAATATATGTCTTTGGTCAACTGATTCAAAATATAGTGCCCTGTTTTCTTATTGAGATATTTCTTAAACAACACAACCATAGATTTAACTTAGTATCACCGATTCCTGGCTAAACATGTTTTGATTTTGAAGTAACTGAGCATCATTAGCAAATCTGCAAAGTCCTCGCCTGATCTAGAATCACTTGAATAAATTACCTAAACACTTTGGTGTCATGAAAACCCACTGACTCAGAGTTAAGTCAAAAAGGGAGCGGGGGAAACCCTATGTTTCATCTCACTGAACCACTTTAAAAAATTATTTTCATCAGGGTCTGTCATTCATCCATTCTATTTAATTCAGGTTTCCTTATATTGTATTTGAACATTGCAATCATGTTTCAATCTACTTGAAATTCGCATTTCCCTGCAATAAGTGCACATAATCACAGTTCCTTTTGAGCATCCAGGCAGCTACATACAGTGTGACAGTCTAATTTTGGAACAGAACACTTTTGCTCAACAAACACTATGCAACAAAATAAAAAAGGGGAGCAAAATGTGATGCTAAAAATAAGTCTCGTTTTTCATGTGACTGAGCAAGTTGACTGAGAAAATATTGTTATGAATTCAATATCCATCTGTAGCAAGTGTTTCAGAGTCATAATGCAAGGAATTTATTTTTAGTAGGTAAAATATGTTGGATTGGTATTTACTGAAACCACAGCAGCTAATATTGTAGACTTTACTTATTACCTCTCTTATTTACCTTATCAGAAAGCAGGTAAATGGAAATATAATTTCAAGGTAAGTGGTCTATTAACTGGCAACTCAGCCATTTCCCTGTGCAGCACTCCTAATAAAAATAGTTGCTTGATTTGCTTTCTGTATCAGACAGGTGTTACCTTTCCATATTCCTATTGACCCATAGCTGTGATTTCTTAAGTAGAATAAATTAGTGAATAGGAAATTTAATAGTTTACTGTTACAATTTTACTTCTTGTTTATTAAACATTTTACTAATTTATTAAACTACTCATTCTGTTTTAACAAAATGCACAGGTCACTTTATCTGGAGATCACATTTAACATTTTGAATAACAACTTTATTATATTAATTTTAAATGACTGTTATTCTGTACTGGATCAATAGGGGAAATCCTATTGTATTTACAATAATAATATAAAATATCTGTAACAGTATAAATTAATTTACTTTGTTTATCCCTATGTATAATCATTTAGGTTTCATTTTCAACTTTTAGTATGGCTTCCTTTAAACTGAAATCTGCATGATTGGTTCTTCAGTCAACCATACAATCACTTCTGTTTGTTCATTAAAATTTCAAACTTTTTACTTGATTATTTTAATACAAAGGGACAAAGGTCTCATTTTATAATTTATGATTATTTTGTCTCTGAAATAGTTTCCCTAGCTTGTTTCAGTTGGTTTTCAGTAGTAATTATATCTTCAACAGAGTTGATTTAAGAAAACTCCATGACATACCTTGTTTTAGGTGCAAATATACAAATAAGTTTAAAGGCAGGAAGTATTCACTTTTTCTTATGCATTTTACAATACAATGATTATAATTTTGTAAATCCGAGGAAATGCTAATTCTTTTACTTCAGAGAAGAAAAACCTAAGTAGTGGTATCATGATCAGTGGTTATAGTACCCTGTTTTCTAGTCAATGTTAAATAAGGCCACAGGAAGAGATATTTGGTAGTATGCTGCATGTCAGCGTTAATATCACATTGCCTTCAAAGCTGAGTTAACATTGACTGAGTCTTCTGCAGCCGTGAGAGGCATTTGCAACAAATATAAGACAGAACAATTTTAAGAAAAAAAAATGTACACCCAGTATGAAAAGATGCAAGATCTTGATTAAATAGCAAAGGAGAAATATGAATAGCCAATAAAAATGAAAAACATTAATTTAAGGCACTATCAAAAAGACATACATAAAAATTATCTCATGGATGTTTTTTATTCATTTTTCTTATGTTCCTGTCAATCTGTCAAGCCATGTTTTTAATGACAACACACAATGTTGTTGTAGATGCAGTAAAACTGACAACCACTATCCTGGCACATAATAAGCGAAAGAAATATTAGCTGTTGCTGCTATTATAGAATAATTATTATAGATAGTTTATAAATTTTGCTACTAAGTATTAAAATGTTTATACTTTTGACCTTGTGATTTTGCTTCTACTAATTATTTCTAAAGAAAAAATTATAATGTGGAGAGACATGTTGAGAGAGATTTATCACAGCATTCTTTACAATAGCTCCAAATTGGACAGAGATGGCCCCAAATGAAAAAGTTAAATGACTTTTGACAAATCTAGTTTGTAGAAATTGTTTATATTCTGTGTTTTTAGATTATTTTAACGATAAAAGAGATGTCCACAATATAAATTGAAGGGTATTTAGTTAGATGACCTCTGTTACATAAATTTGCAGAATGTGATAAAAATTATTTACTAGAAAACATAAAATAATAATTGGTATCTCCTCTAGGCAAAATACTCAGAAAAAAACAAACTGTTATTTTTCAAATAAATGAAAACACCAAATGTTTTTAAATTGAAAATAATTTTATCTTAATGGAGTTGTTTGAGATTTCTAATTTTTCTTAAAAGTATTCAGGTTGTACTTAGGGATTTTTAAAGGACCTGTAGTGAAAATTCTTTGATTTTTTTTTTTTTAATAGTCATTCATGTGATAAACATTCTGGGTCAAAATATTACAAATGTGTTTTTTATGGAAAATTTTATACTGTATTCATGTTCTGGAGTTACATTTCCTAAGCATAAGTAAAATCAAGTTTTATTTTTGTGTCAAATCAAGGAAAAGTCATAATTTATTTTATAATTTTTAAAAAATATATTTTATTGATTTTTCACAGAGAGGAAGAGAGAGGGATAGAGTTAGAAACATCGATGATGGAAGAGAATCATCGATCAGCTGCCTCTTGCACACCCCCTACTGGGGATGTGCCCACAACCAAGGTACATGCCCTTGACCGGAATCGAACCTGGGACCTTTCAGTCCGCAGGCCTACGCTCTATCCACTGAGCTAAACTGGTTTCGGCCTATTTTATAAGTTTTTTACCGGCACATGAAGTTCTGAATCACTAACACTGGGGTCTTTGATGTCAACATGAAATTTACTAAGAAAAGTTCATTGAAAAACAAAAAACAAAAAAATCACTGAGGGTAGAGTATTACCAAAGGAGAAATTTTAAACAATATAAATAAAAAATAACAATATAGATAAGAAATTCAAATTTGGCTTTTTGAAAAATCCCAAAAAATAGTCTCTTTAACAAATCAAACTATATACTTAATTGCTGTTTAACAAATAAAAATGTATTATATGTGATGTTACCTCTCCTACTTTCATAAATCTTTAATTTACCATTTTACTGTGGTAAGTCAGTCCTTGAAATTGAAAATCCAATGATTTGTGTCCATTCAGGTGCCCAAAATATGTAATTAATTTTGTCAAAATATATTTTCCTGCATTAGCCCTTCACTAAGTGGTTTCATGAACAAACCTCTGAGTGCTTGCTATGTGCCGTGCTGGGTTTGATGATGTAGGTTGTCATGATCCCTGGCCTTCTGAGAAAATAGATGGAAAATAAGAAGCTGACAAATTAATTACAAATTGTGTTTGGAGAATGAAGTCAAATTAAGAGCCCAAAATGGACTTGATACTTTTCTTTTTCCCTCCTTCATTAACTTCCTAATTGGAAGTTAGATTAATGTGATAATATATATGTATGTGGGACATTTTTAACGCCACCAAGTTAGCCCTGTGAAGACATAGTGTAAACAGTTTGAGTACAAAGTAAAGCAAAGCCTTATAGCTAATTAGATTTCCTCCTGGCATCCACTGAAGTTTGTGGCAAAGGAATGAGGAAGCCAAAGACCATGATTGAAAATACTGTGGACTAGTCCAGTGTTTCCCAACCTTCTCTCATGATGAGAATCACCTGGTGGAGTTGTTAAAACACAGATTCCTGAATCCCAACTAAGAAGTGCTAAACTAGAATTTTTGAGAACATATAGGTAAAATTGCATACCTAACTTAGTGCTCTGTATATAAAATCTGTCTTAGAGCACTAGTTAAGTATACAATTTTACCTATATGTTCCCAAAAATTCTACTTTAGCACTTCTTAGTTGGGATTCAGGAATCTGTGTTTTAACAACTCTACCAGGTGATTCTCATCATGAGAGAAGGTTGGGAAACACTGGACTAGTCAATGGTTTTGAATATCCATACTGACAAAATAATGCATGTAGCACTAAAAACATTTAATTACTAGCATGGACACTGGGAGTACAATCTTTTCTAAGTTTTTCAGCATTTGATCTCAGACTCTGCTCCATATTCTTAGTCCCATCTTCATTTACTTCTGCCAATACACTTGATATTGAAGCCGTGTGAAAGAATGTTGCTCAGAGCTCCGTGGATGTGATTATTGTGACATGTGCCTCCCATTCTTATCCAGTAGAAATTGCATGTTGTAGAGAATGATTGATTGGTTACTGCCTTTGTATTTGATTTTATCATTATTCATTATTTTCTTTGTCAAACAGACCCACACTCTTCTTCACATAACCACCCAGTCCTGTCTCTCAGTAAGAAAAGTAACTGATGGCTCTCAACAGCCCACTGTGGAAATGTGTAATGATAGCCCTTTGCAAAAATGGCTGCTAAGAAACTATACAAGAGCAGAAGTTTTTAGAAATATTTTTGAGAATCCTACTGATTACATTCTCTAATAATTTTTGGAGGTTTGTGTTGCAGACTTTACTAATATTAGTTTAGTATTTTTGTTATCAAAACCTAGAAATTTACTTCTCTAATATGTGGTTAAGGGAAATCTTTATGTGCTATTTCTCCATGGAGTTATTTTTCTGTCTTATACTTCTTAGCTGCTCCTTAATTTGTGCATTTATTTAGTAGTATTTAGTCTGTAATTAATCAGTGGGTATTTTCCATTTTGTTATTTTAAATAGATATGCCTAAATATAATTGACGGAATATGTTATGACATATTAGCTATTTTTTAAGGTTAATTATAATCATGTTTATACGACAATAGATTTCAGCATTAGAGTTGAAAAACCATTAAGAAATTAAAAACATAAAAATTAACATAGCCAAAATATTTCTTTTGGAACATTGAAATTATTTAATGTTGTTAATTTCAATTCAGATACTTTGGTTGTGTGCAGATAAACCATATCCTTTATGGAATTTATTATTTTAAGCTGATACTAAGCAAATGTATTGTTAAAGACTAAGATTATTGGTTAAATTATATAATTATAATAAAGCACATAAATGTACATTTTCTCTGTCACTTGCATGATTTGTGAATATCTTCTCAGTAAGCAATAAAATAAATCATTATTAAGTATATGCTTAAAAAAGTACTGGTATGGAATTCTTGTAAAGAGTGCAATTGGTCTTAAGGTGTTCGTTTTCCTTTGTAAATAAAGTATGTTATATTTTCCAATACTTTGCTATGAAAATACATGAGAAGTTAGGGAGGGAGGTTTTCTGGTTCAGGTGAACCATTAAAGGTTGGGATTGAGCTTGGAATACTTATGACAAGGCTGGGAATAGAGGAGGAGAGGAGAGCGGAGGGGAGGGGAGGGGAGGGGAGGAGAGGATATTCTTGTAAAGAGTGCAGTTGGTCTTAAGGTGAGGAGAGGAGAGGAGGGGAGGGGAGGGGAGAGGAGAGTGTTTAGGTTAGAACTAGAGCATTCTAAACATCTGTTGGGAAGCTGGAAAAGTCTGGTCCTTCTACACAAAGGTAACTTATGTATAGAGCAATTTACATATATTATCTTAGTTTGTTTTTAAAGCAACCTTAACTGATTGACACAATAGCCAACAAGGGACAGAATTCTAAGGTAGAAACCACACCTTGTTTCTCAACAGAATTTGTCTCATGTCCCATAGCAATTCATTCTGCTTTATGGGAGCTGGCAGCCCTGTGCCAGCAGGGTGAGAGCCACATCAGGTGGGTGTGGAAAGCAACCTGGCTTCATAGTCTTATGCCTCTCAGAAGACAGTGTCTCTATGACAATCCCAGAGGCAGAGCTTCAGGTGAACCAGTGGAACATGCAAAACTCCAAGTCTTTGCACTTGGAGAAGCCCAGCTTGGCTTCCTATGAGGTGTTTTAGTTGAAGTTGATTAGATGCAGATACAGTTTATCAATTAGAAGTCATTTTTGCCATAAGTAATGTTGCCTAGAAATATAGTTAACATTATCAGGTTGCCAAGAGGTTATAGTTAAGAGAGTTCATCAAGGTCAAATTTTTTTCATCAGAGAAGATTTTTAAGTATTCATCAGTTCTACTGAGCATCTTCTCACAAGGAGTCTGATTGCTCAGATAATTTAAAAGCTTGCTCAAGTTTTCACAGCCAGTAAGTGGAGGAGGAAGGGTGGGAATTTACACTTCGGGCTGCCTGACCCTAAATGTCTGCTGTTTCTACTGCGCAACAGCATTTGGGTTGATTGGTTGGTTGTTATCTCTACAGTGGTGGCTTTTGACTAATGAATTCCTTCAAAGAAAACATACATTTTTAAACAGAGCAACACTTACTAATATTTTTTCAAAGTATCCCTATGTATATAGTCGATAACATATTCGTTTTGATCCTTAAAGTCACATATGTATATTTTTAAAAGGAATCTAATAGAAGCAAGCAAGGGTAAATAGCTTTTTAAAAAGAACTATGTACACAGAGGATCTCAGGTATGTAACAAAAGTGAATATTTTGTTGATTTTTAACTAGAGCTTGCTAGCAAAGAATTGTTTTGTTTTGCTTTGAATTTTTTTCAAGTTGGCTGTTGGTTCATAAACCAACAACCTGATTTCTGCCATCATAAGCACAAATCAACTACCTTCTTGCCTAAGTGTGTTCGTTTTTTCTCTATCCTTTAGTGTAAATAGCTTGGTTCTGTGTATTGAAAGAGCAAGAACAAAGGCCTCAGTCTTAAAATCTCCTTCATATCTGACAACCTTGCTTTTTTAATTTCCTGCTTGTTGTCTATTAAGCATCCTCCACCACAAACCAGGTTCCATTCCATCTTTTCTCAGGACAATGAGGTCCAGGCTGTGTATAGGGCTAATCCAAACAAATTATGGTTGTCTAGGCAGTTTTTCTCCACCATTTTTATTGCATTCCCCCTGAATTTTTTTTTCATACAATTTTCAATTATAATAGTATGAGCCAGAAAAAAAATTGTCTACCTTTAATTTTAGTGATTTAAAACAGGATATACCTGCAATATTCTCCCATGCATTCAAACACTTCTCTTCTTGAAAGTTTTTTATTAGAATGGTTCTAGGCATTGCCCATGAAACTGAGCAAACATGTACATAATTAGTGAGCACAAATTAATATAACACATGTGGACTTAAAATTTATATCAGTAAAGTCCAAAATTCATAATTTCAAAATGTAAATGTGAACTCAAAAGGGAAGATGTATAATGATGGTTAACATGATGCAGTTTTGGAATTACATTTCAGCATTTGGGTACTGAGATGATGCTTATCAATGAATACCATCATTATAAAAAATATAGGTATAAATTTAAAAATAGGTGACAACACATTCCTGACTTAATTTGGTATTAAATTTTTTAAAGATTCTCAAAAATGCAAACCAAATGATGGTGAGCATATTATCAAGCAAGGCAGGTCTTTGCTGTGATAATCACTCAAATACAATGAATTTCTCACTCAAAGAGACTGTGGCCTGTTTAGTATTTGGATCTGGAAACATCTCTAATAGTTTTCTCATTTGGGTCACAGCTGTGACATCTCTTTGCATGTTTGCCAAGCAGTTACTGAATAACACATGCCTAAGATAACTAAGCTTTGGTGAAAGCTTGTTAATATTTACAGCCCTGGACTGAACTCAGAGCTCACAAATGGGCCTTTTGCAAAGGAACCCGAATCCTTGGCAAAGCGGAACACATGTTGGCTAATTTCTTGAACCATCTGCAAATAAAGGTGTATTAGACAGTGATGAAACCACGGCAGGGAAAGTTGTATAATAATTAATTCACAACCACCCGTGCACAGTTTCCTTTATAAATATATCACAGTGTTTATACTAAAAAAAAAATTAAATAAAATCAGAAAGGTCTTTGAAAGGGCATGATGTGTAGTGAAGTAAGACACAATGCGTTGCACTGATTGTGGGTTATCTTTTCCAGAAACTCACCTTGAGGCACGTGAACAGTAACCAGTGTCTTGATGAACCTTCTGAAGAAGACAAAATGGTGCCTACCATGCAGGACTGCAGTGGCAGCAGGTCCCAGCAGTGGCTGCTGAGGAACATGACGTTGGGGGCATGAAGGCCACTTCCCCCAAGCCATGAAAGTGTCTGCACTTTTGTTTTTCCATTATTTCAATTAAGGAAAAAAAGATTAACTTTGCTGAATCAAAAGTTTTAAAATCCTTTTAGTATTCTAAAACACAGTTGTTTATAATTCATTTTTAGGAATGTTTGCTTATTTCCCTACAAAATTTGTATCTGATCAAAAGCACATAAAAATATGAGTAACAGCAAACTGTTATTAAACTTTTGAAAAACTTTAAAAGAAAGTGTTTGTTTAAACACACACATACACACACACACACACACACACACACACACACAACTCTATTGCCCTCATGTCACAGGATTAGTTGTGGGGAGGGGTATTTTTATTTTTTATTTTCATAGTGATTAAAAGAGAGAGTGTAAATGCCTTATAAAATATCTTTGTTATGAAACAGAATCATTTTATAAATTCACTCTGTTTCTACTGGACCTTTGTGGAAACATGTTGAATTTGTCAACAGCAGGCCACACATTGAATTATTTCTGAACAATGAATTCATCATACACAATGAGTTTCAAGTTTTGTACCAGAAAAACACACACACACACACACACACACACACACACACACACAAAAAAAAAAAAAAAAAAAAAACTGGACCTTGACTTACAGAGTTCTTATAAAAGCATCACATTTAAACAAAAAAACAAGACAAAACAAAAAAAGAGGAGAAGAATTTAACAATTCAATTTAAAGGACATGAAATCAGAAGCATCAAGCCTGGTGGGAGCAAGATGATGAAGCTAAACTGCAACAAAGGATTCTGTGTAGGTGGTAATCAGTCCTCTCTCAGGCTGAGTGTTTAACAATCAGATTGGTTCCAGAGTTGAAGTTGGAAACTCAATCCTTAGCAACTATCTGTGTCTCTCATAAAACATGCAGCCCTTTTCTTTTCACTCTAGAGACTGTGGCTTGTCCCTTATGCTCTACAGAACTGTAGGTAAAGAGTGGAGAGTATTAGTCCTGATTTTTTTTCCTCCTACATTTAAAACTTTAAGGTCACTATTACCATTTTAATTTTTAAAACTAATTCACTGCTATGCTAGAATATCGAAAATTTCCATTACTAAGGGAATGAACTCAGTACATATCCATGAAACTTTGCTTTTAATTATCTGTTAGAAACCATTTGCTATAAGTTATGGCTCAAGGAGCACAGTCCTGTCAGGCTAACTTCACACATTCTATTTCCATCTTAAAGCCCTTTGTGTTCAAAATGAATGAGGTGAAGATACTAAAATGAAGAATACACTATCAGTTGAGAATCGAGCTAATAACTTTTAGTATTTCACACCATTTTAGTATGTCACGCCATTTAATATTTCACACCCTTAGAGTAGCTCTACATATGTATTTTAGTCATTAATAAATACATTCAGCAGCCAAGAGAAATTTGTAGAATTATCCTGCCATATTTTTGGCTCTCATCTTTTCTTAAAAAGCTGTAGAAGGCCAGTATAATTTTGAATGATTTTCCTGCTAGCATTAGCATTATTTCTTTGGGTTTATACTGGTAAAGCGCTAAGGAAAAATTCTACAATCTGGTGTATTTCCAGGTGTATTTCTTAAAGTGCAGACATTCCTAAAAGAGCCGACACTCAACTACAGAGCATGAGGGTTGTCATTAGCCAACTTTTGTGGGAACTGCCTTTGAATGAACAACTGAAGACATGTGCGGTCCCAGCTCCCAACACAAACTGGATGTCCCTCAAAAGCAGCTTGGGTTCCTAGCTGCAGACCCTGGGAAGGTGAATCAAATCCTTTTTTGCACTGATTTTCCTAAGTTCGTTTGCTTTTAGTTTTCCAAGAACTGTAATCTCTGACTATTTTCTATGTTCTCAGGACCCCTGGGTAGACAACAAAGCATGATTTCAGAGTAGACATATGGCAAGAAACCATGGCATTGATTGAGCTGAGTCTAGACAAATAAATTTATATACACATCCAAATTGGAAGAGAAAATTTATTTCTTTAGGTTTCAAACACTGTAATAGAAATAAAGCAAAAATAAAGACCTGCTGCAAAGTTAAAAAACAAAAACAAAAAGTGTAGACATTCATCAGCTTGAGGTCTCTGAGTATCCCCAAGCAAAATTACAAGCAAAAGTTTGAGTGTTGGGCATTTCCTTTTGGTAGAGAATCCATTGTTTACAGCAAATTTATAAGGAAACTGTGACATCCCTGAGGAAGGGAGCCACTGCCTTCAATTGACAGTGGCCTCGCAAGTCACCTGAGGACTCTCTTTTTCTCCCCCTTTCCTCTTGTCTCACTAAATTAAAGTTAAATGTCCCTGCACATTGTTCTTAAAATTATAAAGCTGAAACATTCAAGGACTCTTTAATATAATATATTCCATTGTGGATTTGTCAATCAAAATACACGTTATCTAGAAAATGGTCAAAGACAATTTAAAAAAAAAAATGGTTACTCTACCCAAACTGAATTTGACACATTTCAGCAGTATTTTAAATATCTAAAAGTTCATTATGGTCATGGAAAAAATACAACAGAAATAAAAATGACACGCATTTCATGCCAGAGAAGAATTTTCCAAGAATCCTCAGATGGTATGAGCATATGTTATTAAGTGTCTAACAAACAAAAAAATGTCATAAAATACTAGAAAACACCAAAAACTAGAAAGCATTTGCTAATTCAGTGTTCTTTTCAAAAATATTTATTGTATTCAGTACAGAAAATTAAAATTATGATTGGATTCTTATACTTTATTATCTTTCTAGACTAATAGATCCTTCAGATGACTTCAAACTTCCTCTTCGGAGGTCACCCCACCGCAACTCCAGTCTTCCAGATGCTCAGATCAAAAACCTAAAGTCAGTTTTCATTCCACTCTTTCTCTCTCAATTTCCATCTATTCCATCAGAAATCCCCTTGATGTCCAACCAACTACTTACCACCACATCAGCAGTGTCACTAGCTTTAATCTTTTAAACTGCAAGTGCTTATAATTTGGTTCCCTAATTTCCCAGCCCTTGCTCCTAAATAGTCTTTTCTCACTACAACAGCCACCGTGATTCTTTTTAACATAATTTTATTGTGTCTCTTCTCTGCTCACAACCCTCCAATGACTTCTCATGTCTCCCCAAACTTCTTATAGTGGTCTTTAGAGTCCTTCATGAATGACACTCCTGTGAGCACGTACACACACACACACACACACACACACACACACACACACACACACACTTCTGAATACTTCCACTCTGGCTGCCAAACAAGTTTCCGCCTTTGGTGTTTGTTCCCTTTGCCCACAGAGCTTTCTCAGTCACTTCCGTCAGGTCCTTACTCAAATTTTATCTCATCAGTAAGGCAAACCCTTCTCCGCCCTGCCCTTCCTAGTACCCGTAAATTCTCAAACTATAGATTTGCTTCTTTATTTTCTGTCTACCTTTCCACTTCCAAACCCCCTGCATTACCATTGCACACCCAGCATGCCAGTTTTTTTCACTGTTGTTCCCAGTATCTAGTAGAGTTATTGGGACATAATAAGTCTTCTTTAAATGTTTTTGAATAAACCGAAAAACAATGTTTGTTAAAGTTACCAAGTACTACTGTATCCTACATTTTTTGCACAATATTTTAAATTTTAAAATGAAGTCAAGTAGTATATTTAAACAGGATGTACATTACTTTCTCCAAATGATAATTTTCTTCCTAATATTCCTCAAATTAAAAAATAGGCTATATTTTGTTCTCTATGTTAGTATATCCTGCCTTATGGAAATGAAATATATGACATTTTATAAACATGCTGCTACATTATATAAGTTGATTCATTAAGATAACAATTATTTTTATTTTTTTGGTTGTCTTTAATGGCCACCTGATGGAATAAATAAGATTTTTACTTTTAGGGGGAGACATGTATCATTTTCTTAAAAACCATATGTATTTTTATTGTTTCACAGGAACTATTATTAAATGTATTTTCTAAGTTCAAATCTATGAATAATTCTAGAAACTTTAAAAAACTTTACAGATGATTTATTCTTAGTTTCTCTGTTTATAGATAATAGAGAGAATCAGATATGTAATTTAGCTTGTTCAAAGATCATACACTTGTATGCACTGATGTCAGGACTCATCATTGTTAATATAATCTAACACTGTCTTCAATTACAAAGCACTCAAAATATAATAAAAAGGGCACAATCATAAGAGAAAAATGTCTTTATTAAGCATTTTGTAGTAACTAAATTGATTCTTTAGAAATATAAACCCTTCTTTTGTTATATTATCCTTTTTAAGTTAATTAACTTTAGAAATTTAACTTCTCACCACCTTTCATACTTAAATAAAATTATTTCTACAAAATACTACCAAAGGCAATAAATAAAGACCTGCAGCAAAAGTAGAGAAATTAACAGGAGACAGCCTGATTGCAGAACATTCTAGCATTATTGGGCAAACAGTGTTCCAGAGAAGCAAAGCCTCTTCAGCAGTAAAACAGAGAGCATATTCTCCCCTCACTTTCACTTCCTTATGATTATGTTCAAGTTTAAAGTAATATTGGCCCGCAGCTTGCATTTAAAACTATTACTGTGAACATTGAAGTAGATTCTGGGTTATTTAGCTCAAAAGACTGCAGGATAATCAGCAAAGACTTCCAGGCTTCCCAGTGGAGCTCTGTAGACTAGTGAACACAACCCATACATCCTCTTTTCCCATGGTGCTTAGAAACTGGTGCGGCTCAGTTGGTTGGAGCATCCTCTGTGCACAGAAGTGTTGTGAATTCCAGGTCAGGGCGCATGCTCAAGTTTCAGGTTCAAACCCTGGTTGCTAAGCATGGGGAAGCAGCCGATGATCAGTGTTCCCCTCTCACATTGATGTTTTTCTCTCTCTTTCCCTCTTCCATCCTCTCTCCCTAAAATCAATGGTGAAAAAAAGAAAGAAAGAACCTAAGAAATAAGTAAAAAGAGGGGGGAAATAACTCTAACAATAAAA